CACAGAGACACACAGAGACACACAGAGACACACAGAGACACACAGAGACACACAGAGACACACAGAGACACACAAAGACACACAGAGACACACAGAGACACACAGAGACACACAGAGACACACAAAGACACACAGAGAAACACAGAGACACACAGAGACACACAGAGACACACAGAGACACACAGAGACACACAGAGACACACAAAGACACACAGAGACACACAGAGACACACAGAGACACACAGAGACACACAAAGACACACAGAGACACACAGAGACACACAGAGACACACAGAGACACACAGAGACACACAGAGACACACAGAGACACACAGAGACACGCAGAGACACACCGAGACACACAGAGACACACAGAGACACACAGAGACACACAGAGACACACAGAGACACACAGAGACACACAGAGACACACAGAGACACACAGAGACACACAGAGACACACAGAGACACACAGAGACACACAGAGACACACATAGACACACAGAGACACACAGAGACACACATAGACACACAGAGACACACAGAGACACACAGAGACACACAGAGACACACAGAGACACACAGAGACACACAGAGACACACAGAGACACACAGAGACACACAGAGACACACAGAGACACACAGAGACACACAGAGACACACAGAGACCCACAGAGACACACAGAGACCCACAGAGACACACAGAGACACACAGAGACACACAGAGACACACAGAGACACACAGACACACACAGACACACACACAGACACACACAGACACACACAGACACACACAGAGACACACAGAGACACACAGAGACACACAGAGACACACAGAGACACACAGAGACACACAGAGGCACACAGAGACACACAGAGACACACAGAGACACACAGAGACACACAGAGACACACAGAGACACACAGAGACACACAGAGACACACAGAGACACACAGAGAGACACAGAGAGACACAGAGAGACACATAGAGACACAGAGAGACACAGAGAGACACAGAGAGACACAGAGAGACACAGAGAGACACAGAGAGACACAGAGAAACACAGAGAGACACAGAGAGACACAGAGAGACACAGAGAGACACAGAGAGACACAGAGAGACACAGAGAGACACAGAGAGACACAGAGAGACACAGAGAGACACAGAGAGAAACAGAGAGACACAGAGAGACACAGAGAGACACAGAGAGACACAGAGAGACACAGAGAGACACGAGAGACACAGAGAGACACAGAGAGACACAGAGAGACACAGAGAGACACAGAGAGACACAGAGAGACACAGAGAGACACAGAGAGACACAGAGAGACACAGAGAGACACAGAAAGACACAGAGAGACACAGAGAGACACAGAGAGACACAGAGAGACACAGAGAGACACAGAGAGACACAGAGAGACACAGAGAGACACAGAGAGACACACAGAGACACACAGAGACACACAGAGACACACAGATACACACAGAGACACACAGAGACACACAGAGACACACAGAGACACACAGAGCCACACAGAGACACACAGAGACACACAGAGACACACAGAGACACACAGAGACACACAGAGACACACAGAGACACACAGAGACACACAGAGACACACAGAGACACACGCAGACACACGCAGACACACGCAGACACACGCAGACACACGCAGACACACGCAGACACACACAGACACACACAGACACACACAGACACACACAGACACACACAGACACACACAGACACACACACAGACACACACACAGACACACACACAGACACACACACAGACACACACACAGACACTCACACTGACACACACACAGACACACACACAGACACACACACAGACACACACACAGACACACACACAGACACACACACAGACACACACACAGACACACACACACAGACACACACACACACACCGACACACACACACAATCATACACACACAAACACACACACACAAACACACCCACACGCACACACCCACACGCACACACCCACACGCACACACCCACACACACACACACACACACACGCACTCGCACACGCACACGCACACTCACACGCGCACGCAGAAGCACACGCGCACGCGCACGTACAGGCGCACGCGCACGCGCACGCGCACGCGCACACGCACACGCACAGCACACGCACAGCACACGCACAGCACTCGCACAGCACAGGCACAGCACACACACACACACACAGCACATGCACAGCACACGCACTGCACACGCACACACACACACACACACACACGCACACACCCATATAATATATGTATATAACATAATTATATATATATATATATGTATATATGTAGCCGCCACATAGCCAGAACCCCGTTTTCCCAGGTCGGCTTAGTGGGAAACCGAATCCCGGCGTCCGAGGACTGCGGAGCCGCGCGGAGGTCTTCGCGCTCTGCTGCCGCGGGGTCACGGAGCGGCAACTTTGGCGCATTTTGGCAAGGGATGTCCAACCGAAGAGTCCAACTGCCATCCACAGATTCTTGGTTGTAACCTGCAGGCCTCACCTGGGGCAAAATCAGTTTGGTGCATTTTGCCAAGGGATGTTCGGACTTTAACTTTTTAACCCAACGAATGGGTTTTCCGTATTAAACCCACTAAACGAAAGTTAAACTTTTAGCAGGGGAGCAGAAAGCAACCGAGGCAAAACTTGGAGGACCACTTCGAGGCGGGAGCCACCGATCGATCGATCGATGGATCGATTCGGCAGGGAGGGGGCGGGGGCGGGGCTGTTGGGTGTGGGAGCCATCGATCCATCGGGGAAAGGGGGGGGCCTGGGTGTGGGTGGCTCGGCTTTTTGTTGAGTTGGTCCTCCTGGGCTTTTTTGACTTTGCAGGAAAGCCGTTGCGGCATTTTGGGACGTCCCCCGAAAAACAGAGGACATACCCGTGTCTTTTTTTCCACGGCTGAAAGCTTTGGGGTTTTAGCCGAGATAGGCTCCGGGGCCGGGAAAGCCAAACCTTGGGTGCCCAAGCAAATTGCAACGCTGGCAAAACGCTCCAAGACTGTTGTGGAACCGCCGCTGCATGAGAATGCTGTTGGGTGCCAAAAGCGGCGCTTGGGTTGGTTGGAAAAGGAAGCCACCACGGAGCCAACTGGGTTCTCCCATGTTGATTTGGTGACCGAATCAGAAAAACAGAACAACATTTGCAAGTTCACATGGAACCAAAAAAGGGGATCCCTTTTTTGGTGTCCCCGTTTTTGGGGGTTACTTCTTTTGGGGTCCTCCCCTCACAGAAACCACCCTTTGTCCCATTCGATACCCGCGAGGCCCTGATGTCGTCGTCGGAGGGTTCAGTGCTACCGCAGCTGGCGCTGACGCTGCTCGGGGACTTCCGCGAGATGCCGCCGCTCGGCCTTTTGTAAGGGCGCCAGGCTTGGGGCGGCAGGGCAGGGGGATGGGGCTTGGGGGTGAAGGTTTTCTTCCTTTTGCTTTTGAACAAAGGGGTTTTGGACGGAAGTCACAAGAAGGGTCATTTCCATGGCGTGAAGGTGGAATGGGGGTCGCGGCTTTCCAGTGCTTCCTGTTCAATAATTCTGGCAGATCTAGACAAAACCTTCTGGGCCGACTGAGATGTTCAACGGGTTCCGCGGGGCGCCCAGACTTTGGCGGACGGGTCGGGGGTATGAGGCTCGGGCAACGTGGCGTGGTGGGGCGGGGAAGTTGCAGGTTTTTTGAGTTTCAACTTTAGTTGTTTCGGCGGCGCTTTTCCGTTAGCCATGGTGACACCAAGAGGTTGTTCAAGCAAGAGTGGTTTCAACCATGGTTAAACCAAGAGGTTATTGGAGCAAGAGTGGCTTCAACCCAAGAGATGGTTCAAGCAAGAGTGGTTTCAACCCATGTACAAGCCACGAGGTTGTTGGTTTCCACAATTGACTCGTCACTTCTGGCCAGAGCCACGTGGCTTTTTTCTCTCGACGGCAGGTCCTTGGCAGTGCGGGTGCTCTCGGCGCGTCTCGCCGGAGTGGTCTCGGCCAGCCGCTCTCAAGAACCGGTCGGGCCCGGGCCGGGGGCCGGGGGCGGGGGCGGGCCGCGCGGTGACAGAAGCACCCGGGGAAACCATGAGAACCCATGAGAGCCTATTGGAAGCCAAGAAGCTGTTGGAAGTCTACGGGTTTTTGGAAGCCCAAAAGAGCGCCAGGGCCGCCAGGATCCCTTTGTTGGTGAGAAGGTGTGTTTTTTGAAAAAGCCTGCGCTGAAATTGGTTTTCAGGGGCGCATCATTGTTGGCAGCATCAGAATCTAAAAGATCTACTCCCGGATGGCCAAGCAAAGTAGTTTCTAAGCGCCTCCTCGCGAACCTGGGACGAAGGTGTTTGGGGTGTTGGTGGACAGGTCAAGTGGTGTCAGAAGCAGAAGCACCAAGCGAAAGCACGACGGAGTAGTTTTAAAGAGGCTGAACAAACCTGTCAGAAATTCAAGTTCAGCCCAACCTGGACCCCTAAACTGGTTGATTTCGTTTTGGTTTCCTTTTTTCATGCCTTCCAACATGGATGCACTTCCTATTTTAGGAAATCGCCTATGTCGATTCGGCTAAAATGGATGCCCTATGTAGATGCTTGAAGCGAGGAGCACTTTCGTTGCTTGGGGGAGATCGGAATATTCATGCTGCCGAGCGCGTGGGTTTTGTTTTCTTGACAGAAACATGGGGCAACTCTCCAAATTGTAGAGATCTCTTCAGTCTCGTACCTAATCTTGGGATGTCTAGCCTTGGGGCTAGCCAAGTGTGCGCGGTTTTGAAAGCAACCAACTATGAAATCAGCATGCTTTGGCGACTTACCACAGCAGAATAGGACTCTGGTAAGCAAACACGTCAAGCCTTTGTCAGTGCCCCCGGATTTGTCAACCTGGTACAAGAAATATTAGGGGCGTGCCTCCCCCACAAGTGATAGGTTCCCCTCTAAACTCTAAACTGGGACACCTTCCCATCACAATCTGCCAGGGGTTGATTCATCTGGGTATCTGCCAAATTAACCATGTAATTTGGACCCCCACAATTGGTCTTCCTTTTGGTTTCCCCTTAAGCAAACCTCTTTTCGAGTACCAACTCCAAAAAAAAACCCGAACTGGGGGTATTTTTTGTCGCAACTCTGAGGCGAAATCTTCCTCTTTGACAGGAGCCGAAACCGGGGCTTTTTGCCAGGGGGCGGGGGGCGGGCGGGCAGCATTTGCTTTTGTCTCATTCGTCGGGTATTTGCACATTGACTTGGCAAAAGACTAGGAACTGGTAGAAAGTTGCATGCGGAGTTGCTCGCTTGGAAATGCCTGGTAGAATGAGCTGGAGTTTGAAGGGACGATTGGCTCACTCGTGAAGTGCGGAATGCTTCTGTGACAAGTGATAGATAGAGAGCAAAGTAATCGGCAAGCGCACTATGAGTTTGTACTTCACTGGCACAGTTGCACGGCCTAAGGATTGAGCTCCCGCATAGTTGAACTGGCATCAGTGCTTAAAGAAATGCCCGCGGTCTGGTAGTTGCAGAGGTCGGCTTGAGCACTCGGCTTGCCATAGGACCCAATTGCCGGAGGTAGTCCAGCTTGAATGTTGAACCTACAAGGGGCCCAACCCCAGTTACCCAAGATATAGCCAGGCTTATGACCTACTTAAGAAGTGGGTTGAACGTCCAAGACAAGGATACAGGCTTTGGGCCCTTGAAACGGGGCTGCTAGCCAATGGATGGAAATATGGTTGGTTGGTTGGTTGGTTGGTTGGTTGGTTGGTGGGTCGGTCGGTCGGTCGCTCGCTTGCTCGCTTGCTCGCTTGCTTGCTTGCTGGCTTGCTTGGTGGGTTGGTTTTTGTAGATTGGTTGGTTGGTCGGACTCGCCCACCTGACCTTGTTGAGCCTTTCATGGAGGATGCTCCAAGTGACCTTCATTGCGGTGCAGCAGCTCGTGAAGTGTGCTGAGAAGGCCGCGCGCCTGGACGCGCAGTGCTCCTTGGCCGGTCCAGCAAAGCGCCCCGATTTTTCCCGGGCCCCCCAGGCGCCCCGCCGGTAACCACAAGATTGGAACCCCGGCGGATTGCAGGAACCCCGGTCTCCTAGGAAACTTCCCAGAGAAACTTGCCAGATATTTTTTCTGGCACTTTTTTCGTGGGTCGTTCTCTCCTGAGGCCTCCGGTGTTTGGAGCTGGTCGTGGCTGTGGAGGCACATGGGCGCTCGGATCGTTCACGAATTAACTTCGGGCAACGGGTTTTGTTCCCTTTCTTTCTTCAAATTTGACGAGTCCCCCCCCTGGGGGCCACTCTGGGGGAAATTCCATGGGACTGTGATCAAGCAGATATCCCATGCGGGCGAGGCTGTGACAGCCTATGGGCCATGAGCTACGGGTCCCTCAATGGCTACGGTCCTTCATGGAAAACCTGGCCATGTTGAGACAACTGTGGCCGAGGTGAGAAGGCTGGACATCTTTGAGCGACTCCCAGTTGATCAGGTCTCAGGGCAATGGATTTGCAGGTCTCGCTTCTGGGCTTTGTGTGCAACAAAGGCGGTGCTTTCTGGTGGTGGCAGTGCTGCTTGCGGGGCTTCTTGGCATATCAATTGTCAATCGGGCAAATGGTGCCGCGTTTTGACCTTCGCTTCTACCCCCTTTGCTTCTATTGCTGTTGCGGTGCATTTCGGGAAGCAGAGAGAAGAGAGAACTCCTGACGAGTGGCTTGAGGGTTGCAATTGCAGATATCTGCCAGGGGCAAACAGGCTTCACTCCGGCTCGCGAGACATATCGTGATTGGACCCAGCGGGGTTGAAGACGGACACATTTTGCTTGAACAGTTGCCAGGCAACGAGCAAACGGTCGACGTCTATGTCCCCGCAAACTACAGAGGAGGCCGGGGCGAACGAGCCGCGGAGCACCGAGAAAGCCCCCTCCCAGATCAAATCGGATACTCCGAACGCCGGATCTGGGATGAACAGTCAGGAGGGGAATGGCTGTTTGGAGGCAAGCATGGTGGGTGTCCGAAAATTAGGACTTCACCATTGGCAGCTTTTTTTGTAGCTGGGACACTCCCAGGTTGCAAGATGCTTGCATCAAGCTCCTATTGGCCAGCTCGGTCTGTCTGGTGTCCATGTACCTCATGGACAGATCGGCAGTTGGAAGAATTTGTTCAGAGCTTCTCCAACCTACTCGATGCACCTCTGCAAAAGCCATTGATTGCCGTCAGATTCCTGTGCTCGTTCTGAGCCGCAGAGTGTTTTTCTTGACGTTGGGTTGTTTTGTTTGCTCTTGCCGCCTGTGGCAAGTGCGACCTAGCCAAATGTTTTGTCGATTTTCTTCTGACCGGTTAGTGTCATAACCTTAGAGGAGAGACATCAACCGTTTAGGAGGCCCCCATACGGGCCGCAATCAAAACCCGGGTAGATGAAGATGAGTAAGGGGCAGTCTCAGCTTTTAGTTTCCCTACGTGGATTTGGGTAGACCATTTTAATACCGATCGGTTTTGATTGTGACTCATATCACCCAGCAAAGGTCGCAATTTGTTTCGCCCGAAGGTTTGACAGGAGCTCCAAAACCCCGATTTCTTGGTCCAGCCAAAAGAGGCCGATGTCCCACAGCCCAGGAGCTGTGTCTGCTTTTCTTAAGATTTGGACCCCTGAACATGGCTTCGGTTTCCAGTTGCTTACATTTCAAGGCCGCCCGCAGAAAAGACGGGGGACCGAGCCTGAAACAAATTGAGACACCAACACCCGGCGCAGCCAGCGGAATGGATGGCTTATCCAAAGCATAGGAGTCCTTTTAGGTTGGGTTGAAAAATCGGTTGGGCGATTCCTGGTTTACCGGGTGGTTCAATCAATCCTCCAGGGCCTTCAATTTTTCCAATACAAATCATACCTATGTTCCAAAGTGTCCCAAAGACCCATAGGGTATTCTTTTGTTTGGGGCAGGGTTGTGGGATCAAGGAGCTTATCCCCACTTCTGTGATACAAGAGAATCCCCCTTTCTATGAACAATTTAGTCTTTGGGAGTTGTATCATAGAAGTGGTCATTCCCCACGGCCCTGCTTTGGGGGGTTTCCTTTTGGTGGCCGTCCTTTGCCTTTTTCCTTTCGCAGCGAAGAAAATCTGGCCCATTTGAGTGGCGTCTGGGTCCCGATGGCCTCACGAAGTGGACGTTCCTGAAACTTTTTGGTGGGGAACACGAGAGTGTTACATGCCCCCAGCCTTTCGGATTATTTGCGGTGGAGACCCGGAGGATCTCTGTTGGACTCACTGTATATTTTAAGCTTCACCAAATGTGGCAAAACCATGTTGTCGGAGCAGTATTCCGCTTTTGTTTTGGCTTCCCTTCCCTTCCGACGATGATGATGCTCTGACACTGTGGTGCTGCTGATGACAATCAAGATGAGGAAGAGGGTAATGCTGGTGATGCTGGTGATGCTGGTAATGCTTGTGATGCTGCTTACTGATGATGCTGCTGCTGATGATGATGCGGGTGCTGGTGCTGCTGATGCTGATGCTGATGAGGATGATGATGCTGATGATGATAGTGATGGTGATAATGCTGGTGCTACTGATGATGATGATGATGGTGATGATGCTGATGCTACTAATGATGATGATGATGATGATGATGATGATGATGATGATGATGATGATGCTGAATGGTGGTGGTGGTGGTGCTACTGATTCTAATGATGATGATGATGATGATGCTAATGCTAATGCTGCGGGTGATGCTGATGCTGATGATGATAGTGATGGTGATGATGCTGGTGCTACTGCTGATGATGATGATCATGATGAATGGTAGTGGTGGTGCTTCTGATGATGATGATGATGATGCTAATGCTAATGCTAATGCTGTTGGTGCTGCTGGTGCTGCTGGTGCTGCTGATGCGGATGTTAATGCTGATGATGATGCTGATGATGATAGTGATGGTGATGATGCTGGTGCTACTGATGATGATGATGATGATGGTGATGATGCTGATGCTACTGATCATGATGATGCTTATGATGACGATGATGAATGGTGGTGGTGGTGCTACTGATGATGATGATGATGCTAATGCTAATGCTAATGCAAATGCTAATGCTGATGCTAATGCTGCGGGTGCTGCTGGTGCTGCTGCTGATGCTGATGGTGATGCTGATGATGATGCTGATGACGATAGTGATGGTGATGATGCTGGTGACTATGCTGATGCTGGCGCTACTGATGATGATGATGATGATGATGGTGATGATGATGATGATGATGATGATGATGCTAATGATGATGATGCTAATGCTAATGCTGCGGGTGCTGCTGGTGCTGCTGATGCTGATGCTGATGCTGACGATGCTGCTGACGATATAGTGATGGTGATGATGCCAGTGCTACTGATGATGATGATGATGATGCTGATGATGTAGTGATGGTGATGATGCCGGTGCTACTGATGATGATGGTGATGATGATGTTGATGATGATGATGCTGATGCTGATGCTGATGATGATGCTGATGATGTAGTGATGGTGATGATGCCGGTGCTACTGATGATGATGATGATGATGATGATAGTGGTGGTGCTTCTGATGATGATGATGGTGCTGGGTGCTGCTGGTGCTGCTGATGCTGATGCTGTTGCTGATGATGATGCTGATGATGCTAGTGATGGTGATGATGCTGGTGCTACTGATGATGATGATGATGATGCTAATGCTAATGCTGTTGGTGCTGCTGGTGCTGCTGGTGCTGCTGATGCTGATGCTGATGGATGATGCTGATGATGATAGTGATGGTGATGATGCTGGTGCTACTGATGATGATAATGATGATGATGGTGATGATGCTGACGCTACTGATCATGATGATGCTGATGATGACGATGATGACTGGTGGTGGTGGTGCTACTGATTATGATGATGATGATGCTAATGCTAATGCTAATGCTAATGCTGCGGGTGCTGCTGGTGCTGCTGGTGCTGCTGATGCTGATGCTGATGATGATGCTGATGATGATAGTCATGGTGATGATGCTGGTGCTACTGATTATGTTGATGCTGGCGCTGCTGAAGATGATGATGATGATGATGGTGGTGGTGGTGATGATGATGATGATGCTCATGCTAATGCCGCGGGTGCTGCTGGTGCTGATGCTGATGCTGACGCTGACGATGATGCTGATGATGTAGTGATGGTGATGATGCCGGTGCTACTGATGATGATGATGATGATGATGATGAATGGTGGTGGCTGGCGGTGATTATGATGATGACGATGATGATGACGATGATGACGATGATGACGATGATGACGATGATGGTGATGATGATGCTAGTGCGAATGCTGCGGGTGTGCTGGTGCTGCTGATGCTGATGCTGATGATGATGCTGATGATGTAGTGATGGTGATGATGCTGGTGCTACTGACGATGATGATGATGACGATCATGATGATGATGATGATGATGATGATGATGATGATGATGATGATGATGATGATGATGATGATGATGATAGTGATGGTGATGATGCTGATGCTGCCAATGATGATGATGAAGGGTGGTGGCTGGCGGTGATGATGATGAACCCCAAACAAGGGCACCAGCGAGGCGCCCGCTGCCGGGGACTCGTTGCATTTCTCGGAGAAGGAGTTGGTCACGGAGGATGGCGTGGTGCTGGCCAGGAGGCTGGATCTTTTTTTTTCTTTTTTTCTTTTAACCCAAAAACTATAACACTATTACTATTTGCAATGTATATATATATATATATTTGTTACTATTATTATTATTATCATTTTTTCATTTGTTGTTTTTTGGGGGGTGGGAGCACTGGTAAGGCTTACATGGCACCTGACAGAGGGTCCCTTGAAAAGGAAACTGATCTTCCAGGTACCCTCCCACAGATGCTATGTTTGTGGGAGGAAGGGTATTCGCGTTTTAGGAATAACTTATGGCCTTGTGAAGGGCATGTTTTTTTTGCCAGTTTCCTCAGGGAAGGGGGTAACATCTCAAGTTGAGACGTGGGTGTTCCTTTGAACACCCCCACCCTACATAAACCCCAAAGACCAACCCTAAACTAACCTTGAAACCAAGCCGGAACCAACCTTAAGCCAATCCGAAATTAGCCTAAACCATCCCTAAACTTGAAAAGGGCGTCACAAGAAAAGCCTTGGCAGCAAAAGCAGCCGCGCCTTCTTTTAAAAGCTTTGATTGTTTTTTGCAAAGGCCAATAGACAAGCTTCGATTTGGGTTTGTTGGTGACGAAAGCGAATACCAAGCACTGGTTCAGTGCCCCGACTCAAAGAAGTGAAAGGTTGATATGGCTTTGTCTCCCAAGTAGCGACCCCCCAAGATGTTTGGTTCTTAGTGATTGGCCACTTACCAATCAGGAGGGGGTTGCCCTGAAACAGGATACACCCATGGATGTGTGGAAAGTGATTTTGGGGTGTCTTGCCTTTGCCGTCTTCTCTGGCAAAAAATGCCGCCACAAGATCCAGAAGTGCAACCTGTGCCGAGGTCCATGGTTGTGAGAGCATCATGAACTTCCATTTGCTGAACATATTTTGTTGCTTATCATGCCTTTTGTTATTTCCGCTGGTCGGTTTTAAAGGGCATCTATCACTACTGGACTCTTTTTTTTCCAGCCGAAGCAAATAGAAGTTAAGGGTTCTTACACTCAGAACGATGCCCATTATGCGCACGGATTCGACCATACCTCTCATGTCAGAGTCGCGGCCCAACGGCGCCTCTTTTTCACGAAAGCCGGCGTTGGCCTCTCCCTCTCCGCTCTTCTCTCCACTTTCGTCTCCCACTCATATCTCCGTGCATCTCTGCTCTCATCTCCCTGCTTTTCGCGCGCTTCTTTTCCGCTCTTCTTTCAGCTGTCTTTCTTTCCGATCTTCCTCTTGCCCTTCTTCCTGTTCTTCTCCCCGCTCTCTGCGCACTCATCTCCGTGCCCTTTTCTTCGAGCTTTCTTTGTTCCCTACATTTCCCCTCTCTTCTCCCTGCATTTCTTTCTGTCCGGGAAGCAGGGTGACCGACCGAAAGACATTGCGGTTTTCCCATTGGTTGCCCTTCAAGCCCAACCTTTTTTAGGGGACCAACTCAAAGCAGCACGCCCATATCCTGCTCTTCTCTCCGGGTTTTCTCGTGAAGAGCTACTGCTTTTCAGCCCGCTCCCACGAACGAGGAACCTCTTGGCTGGCGTTTCTGAGCCAACTAGGTACCCTTCCTCCCACTAGCATTGCATCTGTGGGATGGCAGCTTTCCTCTTCAACGGACCTCTGTGAGGTGCCATGTTAGTGGGAGGGAGTGTAGGTGATTAGATGATGCTCCCTTTTGGTTTACCATGCGGACACAATCCTTCCCCGTGACCCCGTGTCCTATTTGGACTTTGTCATCGTGTCTCCTGCACTCCAATCAAATTCACGTGTTTCTCCAATCTTGCTCTTTCACTCTCGGCTCCGAATTTCTTCTCCGAGCGTGCCTTGATGTCCACCCCAAAATCGGCGTGTCTTTGCTTGGGGAATCCGGTTTTGAAAACCACCACCAAGTCATTCTAGTCTTTTTTTTCTTTGTTTGTAGGCGGGGGGTTGGGGAGGTGGGGTTCGAAGCCCTATTTTGACGCAAAACCATTCGGAGACCAACGCGAAAAAAGGCGGCCGGTGGGTTCCCTTCAACGGGCAAAACGGGGAAACACCTCCCAGGCTGCAGTTCGAGATGGCAGGGGGACTCAGAGCGATGGGACTTGGCATGGGACGAGCGAAATTCTAGGGGTTGAGGCGTTCGTAACGAGGCATGGGGGGAAGCGATTTGGAGACCCAGCAAATGGTATGAGGCCATTTTCCCCAAAAAAAAGACAAAGGGCTCCTTTCTAGGGGTTGATGCCTTGTCCGTTCTTTTCAACCATCGTTCTTTTCAGAAAAACCGGATCTGTAAAAACCCTGAGTTTTTGATGGCTTTCTGAAAAGAAGGATCTCTGGAAAGAATGGGGAAGGTTCCCCTAGAGAAATGGCAACAAATACACGGGGACATGGGGAAAGAGTCGATGAGTTGGGGTATACTTCAAACGTGACACGCGTTGACAATTCTGACGTGCCGTGAATTGACATGGGCGTGCTGTTTTTGAGGGGACCCCCCAAAAATGCGGTTTTCCTTTTGGCTTCCCTGTACCGCCCAAAGAAACAGTACCAACTCCCAACGCCGAGCACAAGGCTCATGAGGGAAGCTTTTGTCGAGCTCTGAGCCTCAAAGTCGGCCAGTTCAGTCCCTCAGCTTCTCTTTGGGAGGTCCGAAAGTGGCAGTTTTGGACATGCAACTCTCAAGGGAAATCTTTTGGCCCTTTGACCAAAAGCCAAAAGCCATTCTTCGCAAGTAAAGATACGGCAAAGATGATCACACCCATCCATATACCTATTTCTATTCAATAGCATTATCATATCTGATCACTACAAAATTTGATTCACTGATTGTTGAACCATATATGCAATATAGATAAACCACTGAAAGACTGATAGTTGAACACGATGTTCAACGTTATATCTGCATCGCAAACCAAGTTTATTCATCATTTACTTTTTCTCAAGTAGCAATGAATATATACATATATATATATATATATATATACACGAATCTAAGCACTGATAGTCAACCCGCATACCGGGGTTTCTCAACATGGTACACTCCTTTTTGGAGGGTTCTGAAGGCATGCGAAAAGGAAAGAAGCCATCAAGCGGGTCCCCCAATTTTGAGAAACACCCATAGTTAATCACATTGTCGTTTCTTTTTTCCATCCTACCCTTCCCTTTTCAGATTGCTTTAAAGGGAAACCAAGAGGGCAATCACAATTTTCGAGGTTCCAGCATTTTGACACATACCCGATATCAGAACTGATCACTACACCATTTAACCACTGACAGTTGCCCGCACATATATTGTTAAACCAACAGTTAAACATGATTGTTGACAATCCATCATCATGATCATGAACTCATCAGTTCATGATCAATTGTCAACAGTAGAGGCCCCTTTTGATATCCCCTTTAAAAGGCGGCACAAGGCGAAAAGAACTGGCAGGCTTTCGCAAAAAGAACTACCGCCAAGTGATTGGCGGCAGGGGTGCCCGGCGGCTTTCTTTGCTTCAGGTGAGTCACAATCAAAACCCGGGTAGATGAAGGTTAGTAAGGGGCAGTCCCAGACGGAAATCGTTGCGGACATCCGCTTTTTCAGTTCCCTACATGGTTCTGGGGATCGACCATTTTTGTACCGATCGGTTTTGATTATGACTCATGTGGACTTAGGAGCCAATTTTTGACTACCCCAGGGTAGACTGAACTTCAGGACTGGGTTTTGATTATGACTCAGGTTTTGATTATGACCTGACTCAGGTTTTGCTTATCACTCCCCTCTTGAGGGGTAATTGGGATCCCAAATGTGCCTCTGGGTGTTCCCTCCAACAGTGATAAATCCCCACTAAAACCAGGGAAAAGCACCCCCATATTAATAAACAGGTTGGTTTATTAATCCGGGCTCCTTAACAGATACCTTTTGCCCATTTGAAACATGGCTTTTTCCCAGATAAAGGGAAACCACCATTTACAAGGCAACGTTCAGGTGTATAATGTAAGGATCCCTCTTAATCCGGGGTCAGCATTACCAGGTTTTGATGATGACGTGAGGTGGCTTCGGAGCCCCTGCTGATCTGCGGGCCCAGCGGCTTCGCGAAGCCTCTGCTGCGCCTCGGCTTTTTTTTTTCTCCGTCGGCCCCGAAGGACCACTTTTGCTGGTCCATGAAATTTCACCATGCCAAAATGGTAGGTTAAAGAGACGCCTTCAGTTGGTCAGCGTCCTTTCTGGTGGATTTGGTTGAAAAATAGAGGGCGATTCCTGGTTTAGAAGGTGGTTCAATCAACTACCAGGGCCATCTATTTTCCGAAAAAGGACACCTATGGTCGGCCCTGAAAGGTCCGGACAGGTTTTTGGTTTTCTGGCGATGGTCGATGCTTTTTTAGGCGCGACCGAAAATAGGCAGAGTCTGAAGATCGTACTTTTTGTGTGGGCTTGGGCCAAGCTCGGGATGGCCAAAAACAAGTGTTTCCTTTGGATAGGTGTTAACCTGTCTCGTTTGAGTGAAGGCATATGACCTACTTGCATTGCGCAACGGCGTAGATTGAGGAACGTTTCCGTGGGCGTCGCAGCTACCGCTGCTCCAGGATGTCGCGGCTTTCTGCCCTACAGTTTCCCCGGCCTGCACTCTTCTTGTTTGAGCAAGCCCTTGTTTGCAACTCCGTGTTTTCGTCTCATCTTGGTTTCTGGGTGCTAGTCCGAGCCGGTCCTCCTTCCTTCCTCACTTCTTCCCTCCCTCCCTCCCTTCCTCCCTTCCTCCCTTCCTCCCTTCCTCCCTTCCTCCCTTCCTCCCTTCCTCCCTTCCTCCCTTCCTCCCTTCCTCCCTTCCTCCCTTCCTCCCTTCCTCCCTTCCTCCTTTCCTCCCTTCCTTTCCTTCCTCCCTTCCTCCCTTCCCACCCTTATGCCTTTGTTTGCAAGGCGGAAAAGCAAGGCGCTTTAGCTTCAACCCCTGGGTCACTCTGCATTCGCGCTTGGGTTTGGACCACTTTAGTGGTGAAAAACAAGCTGGGTGACCAATCCACTCCAAATCGCAATTTGAATCCATTTACTCCAAGAAGTTTGGTAACCTCAATCCACTAACCAAAGTTTGGTGGCCAGTTTGTTTTTTTTGTGGCCAACCCACTCCTGAAGTCAGACCTCGGAGGGAGCTCCGACTCCGAGCGCTCCGAGGTCCCGCTTGCTGTTGGGTGAAGCGCTGGACCGCGCCAAGGGCATCATCGCCAGGTGAAGCGCTGGGAGAGTTCGGGGAGGGAAGGACCAAGAGGGGCGTCCAAGCACGGCTTTGCGTTTTGCATGCGTTTTTTGGCCGGTGTATAAATATAATGTATATATATTTATATATGTATATGTATATATGTATATGTACATGTATATACACGCAAAACACATGTATGCATATGCATATCTACATATATATATATACACATATGATGTGTGCGTATATGTGACATGTATAGTGAGATACGCATGTCAATTCTACATACACACCAAAACTTGCAGGGGGTGCAAAGAAGTGGTCCAGCACGACATCGGTCACATTCTGACTCATAGCGGGATTCCGGGCACCTCTCGCCTTGCAGGTGCAAGCCCGGCCCGCGAACAAACAATCTGTGCTCCAAGAAGTTGGGGGGATGAAGAGATCTATGTTCCAGTTATTTTGTTGCATATGTAGCTTGGTGTGGGAGGATTCTCCAGTCTTCCAGGTGCGAAGGTAACAGTTTCACACAGAGAGCGCATATCTAGGGATCGGGGATGGGTGTCTCCTGTGGGTACCGTGGCTGTCTAGGATACGACGGGCAACGACTGCGTTCCAATTCTGAATTACAGCAACAGCGAGGGGGGCATGGGAGGGATATGGCCCTCAATGGTCCTTAGTGGCCCCTAATGGTCATCAATAGTTACTCGCAAATGGGTAGGTCGTTTTTTAGGGGACCCCCCCCCCAAACTGGTGGGAATTCCATCTGGTTTGCCTTTAAAACCAAAAAGGTACCGCTCAACAAAGGACACACCCAAACAGTCACTACTAGTCACTAGTATACATTAGGTTGGAGTGGTTTCCCTTGCGGCTTCGAACAACTTTTCTATGCTGTGTCAATTGGCCCAACAGCTCCCACATGCCATCCGTAAGTCGCTAGGATAGGTCTTTGCAACAATTTGAGTGCCAAACCCTGGTCTATTGCTGAAGGGGTCCAACCGAATTTGGAGAATGAGTTTTTTTTCTTCTTCGCCTAGCATTGGCTCGCAGAAAAGCATTGGCTTGGTGTTTTAGGCTGGTTACTTGGCTGGTGCAAACTCCCCAACATCGCCTGAACCCGGTTTGGGCTGTTCTGTCAAATGGCATCAGCACATTTGCTGCAGGTAGTCCTTGGATTCAGACGAGCTGGAACAGGGTTGTGTTTCGAGGCGTTTCTTGCGCCTTGTTTGGGGCTCAGGAAAGCGATCAGGATCGAGCAGGTCTCAGGTTTGGTCACCAAGTCCTACCGGCTTGAGCTCGGATTCTCACACAGGGCTCCTGCCGGCTGACGGCAACAGCCGGGCTTTTTGTTTTCGTTTTGCGGCGCCGCCGCTTTTTCAAAGCCGCTGTTCGGCAGCCCATGAAAAGCCATCACAGACGTGGGAAGGTCTCAAAAATAGGGGACTCTAAACACAAGAACGGGGCTACCTCAAAAGACACACACACCTCCCTGGGTTTCCGCCCGAATGAGTCGCAGGCCGCCGCGACAGACGATGCTGCTGTGCGCGCAAGAGCCCTACGTCCCTGGCTACTGCAGGCCGCTTGGAACGGCATCCTCCAAAAGGTGTGTGGCGTGCGTGTTTTCTGGGGCAATTGGTCTGAAAAGTCCCATTTTGGGGGTCCAAACCCTAAATATCCACAAGAATCTGAGCATATCGTTTTACTTGCATCCCAGACTTTTGGGCCAAGCTGCGGGCAACAAAAAAAACACCTTAGGTGGTGATTTGAGCCCCTGGCTTTTGGAGAGGGCAAATGGGACCCCCCCCTCCAAACCTCGATGCTCCAAGCCACCAAGCTGAAAGGATGCTCCCAAGGTGATTTCGAGGCCCAAATGGAACCAAGGTTAAGGGAGTCTTTGGTAGGCTTCAGAGATCTGTACCCCTTTCAACTTGCAAAGCAACACCGGGCCGCATGTTTTTCCTCTTGGGCCTTGGGCACCCCTTGAACCCTTGGGCCTTGGGCACCTCTTGCGCCTGGGGCACCCACCCCCTAGACACCTTTGGGGATCTGAGTGGCAACCGATATGCGGCTGGATCGCATTGCGCTGCTTCTTCTGAATTCAACACACCGAGTTCCCTGGAGCCTCACAATAGGGTTTGCTCTTTGGGTTTGCAGAAATCGTGGGTTTCAGAGAGTGTCTCCTTCTCTTCATGTCTCTTCTGGCAAAAGGCTCTTGGGTTTCGGAGTGCGTGTTCCTCTTTTTTTTAAATGTCTCTGGCACACAAAAGGGCAATTCTTGCAAAAGGGCTGGTTTGCAAGTTCCCCTTTTTTTCCTTTGCGAAGTAAAGTTGGCGGGTTGTCATTCAAACTATGGACCCCCTTTTTGGCGCCCTTTCAAAGGCGCCAACCCCCCACACAAGCCATGGCCAAAGTGGTCGGGCACGTCGCGTCTGAACGCGTCTGACGGGTCCGACGCGAGGCTGCTGGCGCTGCTGGCGTGCCCCCTGCTGCTGCGCTTGCCTTCACACCCGCCCTTCACGGCCGGGCCAGATGAGACCCAAACAACGGGAAGGGCAAAGGAAGCCATGTGGCTGTGGCTCAAAACCAATGGGATCCCAGTTTGGGGTAGGTGCACCACCCATTTTAGAACCTATTTGAGTGGGGATTGAATCGGATGTTCACTGGGGGCTAACCGATTTGGATTTTGACCCATGGCCATGTGGACTTAGGAGCCACTTTTTGACAAATTCAGGATCGAACTTCAGGGGTGGTGCGTTTCCGAAGTGAGTGGAATCCTGTGTGGGAGACCGGATGACCGGCTCTGGATTCGTGAGAAAGAGGAGCTCTCTTCCGTCACGTGTTCGTTTCTTGCGTTTGGTTAAGCTCCGGATCGAAACTCGTAGGACGCCGGATCTGGCAAAAGCCAAATGCTCCCACGTGGCTTCGGGGAGCCAGCCTTTGAGGTTGTTGATCAGGTTTCGGTGGTTGCTCGTCCTTGGCTTGAAAAACACACGTGGCACAATTCGGTGCCGAAACACTGCATTGTGAGTGTTGTATCGTGGAATAGCTATAAATGCCAGACTTTCACGATCTCGTAAAGCTTTTGAGGACATGAGGCGAACATGACTAATCTTTGGCAAAGTACCAGTACTTTGGATGCTTTCTTTCTGCAGTAACATCTCATCGCTTCCCTGGTTGCATCTCCTCAAGTATACCCGAACTCACCGGATCTTGACATGGTGCGCCTGAAAGCAGGGACGCCCTGAAGGGATGGTAGGGCAAATCCCAAGCAAACCGATGCCATTTAGGTTTCTTAGGCTCATGGGTGTAGCTAGAGATCAAACAAGTTGTGAGAATTGGGTTTGAGGTTACCACTACTTGGTGATACCAAGAACAATCCCGACGTGGCAATGTGGGATGGACATCCCTCTTTGGTATCACACAATGAACATCCTAGGATAGGGCCCCCTTGGAAGGGCGTCCCTGAGCTTCATCTTTTTGGGACGTCAAGCAGTGCTATCAGAATCAGTTAGCTGATCAACTTTAGGGGAGATCAAATGACCCAGTACATCTGAATCTTTCACTCGTGGAGAAATACATATTTTCCCACTAAGCTGCAAAGAAAGGGCGACGTTTTGGAATTAGCGGGGGCTTTCTGCCACTTGCAGCCCGGAACTGGTCTCCGAGTGGGAAACCCGCTCAGAGTTTGTTGGTTTCACCAACAGGATTCTTTTGGGGAACCCGTTTTTAGTTGGTTTGAAAGGAAAAGGACACCACCATTGTGGGGTTTGCAAAACACGTCGTGTCCACCGTCCTCCCCAAAAAAGCACCCACAAACCATTCCCCCACAAACCCCCCAGACCCAACCTCTGGGGAGCGTTTCCCGAGTTTCTCTGTTTGCGCCTCCAAAGTGGTCATCGTTTCCATGGAAGCCACCGAGGTCCGTCGTTTTTCGAGGCTACCTGTTTTTCTTGGTGGCTTTAATGAGAAACCAAATGGACAGCCCACCATGTTGGGCTCCAACCTTTAACCACAAACGCTCATTTCTCTGAACATCTCCGGAGTTGCAATCCAAGATGCGTCCGCCATCCTCCCCAAAACCAACCCCACCCCCTGTCTCCTGACGTGGCTGTGGGTCAAAAATCGGGTAACCCCAAAATGGCTTGCAGCTTCATTTGGCTGTGGGCCAAAACCAATGGTACCATTTCGGGGTAGGTGCGCCACCCATTTCAGTCTATTTTAGCGGGGATTGGGATGTTCACTTGGGGTATGGGATTTTGACCGATGGCCACATGGGTATGGGTCAAAATGAAGCAACCAGGAATCGGACCAAATCGTCCATGTTTCCATTTGCCTGGTGATGCCACTGAGCCGGGAGGTGCACGTGGCGGCGCTGCCGGAGTCCGTCACGGAGCCGCTGCTGCGCCAGCACTTCGCGGCCCTCAACGCCGCCAGCTGCCAGGCGCGACGGCGCAGCGTTCGCGGCGTTTGCGGCGACCCCGGGGAGGGGGGAGGCGGGTTGCGGGTTGGGGGGGGCCGCGCCCCTTTCGGCGCGAAACAGTTGAAGGGCCGGCCCGATGTCGTCGCTTTGAGGTGGTGGTGGAGCGCGGGTGCCGGAAGGGCCTGGTCTACTTCAGCACCTTTGCGCCTCGAACTGATCCGCAAGTTTCTTTGTGCCGGGGCCTGTGAATCGGGAGGTTTGGGCTTGGCTTTTCTCTATTTTGCAGGAGCCGCACAGAATCCCCAGGTTACATTGCAAAGAAAGGGGTTGCATATGGAAAGGAGGTTGGTGGTCTTAACAAGTTTTTTAGGGGAGACGTGGTCACGAGTTCTTTGAACGTGTCCGAAGTGATCGGATCTTGAGAGTTTGAGCAAAGCGGCACTTTTCGGATGGGAAACAAACGAATTCGGACTCAACTCAGACTGCTTTGGGCTAGTCCTAGGAGATGTGCACAGTTTCACTCACATGCCAGCTGCCACCATTGGGCCACGCCAGCCACATGTGTTTCGGGCTGCTTTGGTGTTTTGGAAAGCAGCCTGCTTGAAGCTGCTTTGAAGATTGACTTCCAGGGTCCCCAACAGGGCCGCCACTTTGTCACTTTCCGCCCCTCTCCTTGTCTGCTTTTTTCTGCCAGGAGGAGATCATCAAGGCAGTCGCCAGACCTCAGGACCGGTTCTGAAGACCAAAATCCATGCGGATAAGAAGTGTTCATTCTGCATGGAGTTGCATCCTGGTGCAAATCCACTTGCATCCGGTGCACGGGCCAGAATGCAAACATCTTGATTCTAGTGTACCCCAGGGTCAGGCTATGGCTTGGCGACATTTTGCGGTAGGGCGCAGGGCTTTGCTCAACGGACGCGTGGTGGCCCACGCACAGAAAAGCGACACACTTAAGATGAAGCGTCGTCGACGGTAGCAAATGACACACAGACGCAGTAAAATACCGAAATAAAATCCAATGCTGGCACGATACGATATACTACGCGTGAGAAATTCGGTACACATGCCAGCCACACAGTCATACACACAACCACTGAGTTGCGTGCGTGCTTGCTTGCTTGCTTGCTTGCTTGCTTGCTTGCTTGCTTGCTTGCTTGCTGCTTGCTTGCTTGCTTGCTTGCTTGCTTGCTTGCTTGCTTGCTTGCTTGCTTGCTTGCTTGCTTGCTTGCTTGCTTGCTTGCTTGCTTGCTTGCTTGCTTGCTTGCTTGCTTGCTTGCTTGCTTGCTTGCTTGCTTGCTTGCTGCTTGCTTGCTTGCTTGCTGCTTGCTTGCTTGGCTGGCTGGCTGGCTTGCTTGCTTGCTTGCTTGGCTTGCTTGCTGCTTGCTTGCTTGCTTGCTTGCTTGCTTGCTTGCTTGCTTGCTTGCTTGCTTGCTTGCTTGCTTGCTTGCTTGCTTGCTTGCTTGCTTGCTTGCTCTTGCTTGCTTGGCTGGCTGGCTGGCTGGCTTGCTTGCTTGCTTGCTTGCTTGCTTGCTTGCTTGCTTGCTTGCTTGCTTGCTTGCTTGCTTGCTTGCTTGCTTGCTTGCTTGCTTGCTTGCTTGCTTGCTTGCTTGCTTGCTTGCTTGTCTGTGTGTGTGTGTCTGTCTTTTTGTTTGCTTGTTTGCTTGTTTGTTTGCGCGTTTGTTTGTGTGTTTGTTTGTTTGGTGGGTTGTTTGGTTGTTTGGTTGTTTGGTTGTTTGGTTGCTTGGTTGTTTTGTTGGTTGGTTGGTTCGTGTTGGTTGGTTGGTGGGTGGGTGGGTGGGTGGGTGGGCAGTGGTCTTGGTTGGTTGGTTGCTTGCTTGCTTGCTTGCTTGCTTGCTTGCTTGCTTGTGTGTGTGTTTGCTAGTTTTTTACTGTTTGTGTGTAGGCTTGCTTGTTGATTTACTGGTTTCTTGGTGTCTTGGTTGCTGGTTTGTTGGTTTGTTGGTTTGGTGGCTTGTTGATTTGTGTGCGTGTGCGCGTGTTTGTTAGTTTGTATGTGTTTGTGTCAATCCCATGGCGGTTCTCATGCGTCATACAAGTAAGCAAGCGCGCACACAAGCACGCAGGCACGCACGCGCGTGGAGACGCAGACAGAAAGACAGACACACAGACAGACAGACAGAAAGACAGACACACAGACAGACAGACAGACAGACAGACAGACAGACAGACAGACAGACGGACAGACAGACAGACAGACAGACAGACTTTTCAGCTCTTCTTTTTGGCTGGGTTAGTGCTTCGACTTTTCGAAGCTTTGGGGCGCCTTGCGCGCGCTCAACGCGACGGCTCGACGCGTCCCGCCGCAGGACCGCGTCATCGGCGACACGGAGCTCCAGTGCGAGATCGCTGCCCCGGGCGCGGCGTCGCCGGCCGGAGAGGCCTTGCCGCGCCTGGTGCGCATGCGCGGCTCGGAGGGAAGCTGGCCGTTGGGCCGGTGGGTCTCGATTTTTTCTGGGAGGACCACCCCCCCTCAAAAAAAAGAGAGAGGTGGTTTTTGTTTGGGGTTCCATTTAAAGCTACAACAAAGAGGGTTCCTCAAAAAAGGGAGTTTCTCAGAAAGTACATCTCTTGACTATTGGACAACAATTCTAAGTCTGAGATCTTAATATCTTATATTAAAGACTATCGCGTTTCCTTTCTCTTTCTTGATTACAGCTTTGATGTTTTTACTAATATTTCTTTTAATATTGGGTGATCTTCATTCTAATACACTTTTCTTTGATCCAATATTTGAGGAGATCCTATATTCTATCAACATGTATTTTGTGGTTTGGACATCCAGAAGTTTGCATCTTAATAATTCCTGCATGTGGGATCATTTCCATAATAATTTCTTGGATCTTACAATGAACAATCTTTGCTAAGCAATCACTGATTTTTACCATGTCATCTATTTCTCTTCTTGGAAGTCTTGTTTGGGGACATCATATGTATACTGTAGGTTTAGACAGTGACACAAGAGCTTATTTTTCAGGAGTTACAATCTTAATGTCTTTGCGAATTGGACCTGGTACACACAGCTTTTAATTATCTCTCCAATCCATCTTCATTACACCTTAGAATTCCTTCTGTCTTCTTCCTTCTTCTTTTGATGAATGTTCACTCTCGATGGGTCAACAGGAATAATTCTAGGAAATGCTGCAGTGGATCTAGGATCACGTGATACATATTATGTTGTAGCACATTTTCATTTTGTTCTTCCTTAGGACCTCTAATTGTTATCTTCTCCCGGCCCACAAGTTGAGAGTTGGGTTGAATAGTTTTGCTTTTCTTTGATTGATTTGTTGGCATCCGCATTAATTAAACATGCACATACATGAGTAGAACACTAAAAGAGCCTTCGTTTGCGACTGCTGTAAGTGGACATGGCAATCGGAACACACTAAGAGATCACTAAGATAACTTTACATTGCCTTTCTACAGCTGCTTGCGCTTCGTGTGGGGTGCCGTTGATTCATAAAATCAACCAAGAGGGTTGGCACAGATTTGTTCCGGCGAATGCAGACGATTGCATCGGATCATCTTGGCATTTCTTGGCAGTGGGCCATGCTGCGGCGTCTCAGCGCCATGCTACGCACCGTATCTGGGAAACCCCGCGCAAATGCTTCGCATGTTGCTACCTTTTTTGGGATGAGCCACAGGTTTGCCAAAAGTAGGGGCCCTCTTTGGAATGGTGACTTTTTGTTTGGCCTTCAACGTTCCATGAATGGTACAGCTGTCAAGGTGCTGCACCGGCTGCATGCCGATTCATCCATTTTGTCCAAGGTGTCCTTCATGCGGGTTCCCGTCTTGAGTTGCATGTTTGCCTGCAGTCCTTGCAACATGGAAGGCGGCTCAAAGGTTTTGGGCGCTGTTGGGACCCTGGTGTATGGTAGTGTCACCTATGAAGGGGGTCGTTGCCCCAAAATATTTGTGCCAACAAGTGCAATGAGCAATGCTCCGACAGACAGGCACAACTGCTGTTGGAGGAAGGACATGGAGGACAACCAAGGGATACCGGGCCCCAATTTCATTCGTCCGTTTCGGGAAACAAGTGAGGCTTGTTCAAACCATTGATGCCATTTTTCTTGTCCTTTGTGCGTCACCTTTTGAAAATGGAAACGTGGTCGAAACAAATCGGGCTTCTTCTTTTCCTTTGAAAAAAGCTCTTTAAAAAACATTCTGTTGAGTTGTTAAAGAGAAAGCACCACCCATCCTGTTGACTTTGGCATGAAGACTCTGAGGCAAGTGCCTGCGCGCCGTTGACTTGGACCACGTCTTGACCAGGGAGTGGCTGGGCAAGCGCTGTGGGGGGAATTGCACAAAGACCCCGGCCAAAAACACAGCAGTTGGGGGGGGGGGGTGGTTAGGTGGGTGGTTTGGGTTTGTTTAGGGTTGGTTTGGGGTGGGTATAGGGTTGGCTAAGGGTTGGTTTACAGACACCTTGAAGACGCTTCACTAAATAATGTTCCGGCAGCAATTGGACAGACTGAAATCCGTCCGGTGGCTTGTAGCCGGCAATAAGCACATGTTCGGCGCAACCTTTGCGCGAAATCTGTCTTTCCGCTGCCCAACGCATCACTGCTTTAGCATCGCACCCGTTCACTTTCCGGCCAGCTCCAATGCCAGCTTACGAGAGAACAGTTGATTCTCACGAGACCGAACGATCCAACTCATTGTTGAGTCGTGAGCTACGAAACGGGTGAACTTATCTTTGAGCGACTGGGTCGCACGCGGGAGACCGCACGTGCTTTTGATTTCGCGGAGATGTGTTGTTCTGCCAATGTGCGCCGCGCTTCTCGGGATCGGCGCGCCTGAAGACTGAACACACAAACACAACGACCGGTTTTCTGTCAGTAGGCTCAAGCAAGGTTCCTTGAAAAGGCTATTTGCCAGGGTGCACGGCCGGTTCCAGGTTTGTTTTGGGAGGCCAGCTGAAGGCGGCGTGTAGATTCTGTGCCAGTGCAGTTTACCGATTTCTGGATTTAGAACGTCTTTTGCTTGAGAGTCGGAGGTTTCAATTGTTGGGGTTGCAGTTTTGGAGAAGCTTTTGTTGATACTGGGGGAACCCCTAAAATGGGGTGGGTTCTCTTTTGTTTCCCTTTAAACCCAACCTAAACCTTTGGGTACCATCGAAAAATGATGAATACCGCCATGATGTGCCATGCCCAGGAAGCCATGATGGAAACAAAAGGCCTGGAACAACAATCAGTTTGCTTGACAGATTTCACCGGCGTCAGTTTGGTTCTCCCGTGCAATCTTTCGGAAGGACCCTCAAAAACCCCAAAAAAAGAGGACCAGATGTGGACGCCCTTTTTTGGTTCCACGTGGATCAGTGCAACTCCGTGCCGTGCCGTGGGATCTTTTTTCGGGACCGCGCCGTGGATTCTTGGCTCCCAGTCCTGGGGCCTCGTGAAGATTTTGTGCTTTCCTGCAAGCGCTTCCTAGGCTCATTCTGAAACCCCCTCAAATGATTCCCTTGCATGTCGGAAGTAAGTGAAGCTGGTGTTTTTCTTCTACTTTTAATAGAGGGTTCCCAAATTTTAGTGGGGATTGCTCTCTTCCACGAAAAGAAGCCTCCGGTTGACTGGGGGACTTTTCAACCCTTCCCTTTTCCCTTCCCTTTGCCCTTCCCGTTTTTTTTTTTTTTTTTTTCGTTTCCCTTCCATCCCTCCCTTTTTCGTTCCCTTTTCCCTTCCCTTCCCTCCTATTCCCTTCCCTCCTTTTCCCTTCCCTTTTCCCTTTTCTTTCCCTTCCTTTTTCCCTTTCCTTTTCCCTTCCCTTCCCTTCCCCTCCTATTCCCTTCCCTCCTTTTCCCTTCCCTTTTCCCTTCCCTTCCCTTCCCCTCCTCTCCCCCTTCCCCTTTTTCCCGTCTTTTCTCGTCTGTTCTCTTCTCTTCTCTTCTCTTCTCTTCTCTTCTCTTCTCTTCCGTGGTCCATGCCTGGAGAGGGGGTGTGCTCAAGTCGAGGCTTGTCAGGAAACATATTCGGAGAGGGAGAAACCAGCATCCCCTCTTATGAACCATTTACTTATTCCACAAGCACACATGGCCATGGGGCACAACCTATGGCTCCATTTTGGGGTGGATGAACATCCATTCGCCACCTATTTGGATGTTCACCAGGGGTACAAGGTTTTGACCCACAGCCACATAGGCAGATGTCCACATGGGTATGTCCTTTTTCAGGGTACCCCGAGAAAGAAGGTGGTTTTCCATCTGGTTTCCCTTTCAGACCCACATTAACAATGGGCACCATCAAAAACAGACACACCCACCTTATTGTGATATGGTCCTTCCTCGGATCCCTCCCTCCCTCCCTCCCTCCCTCCCTCCCTTCCTCCCTCCGTTTGCCTCCCTTCCCTTTCCTTTCCTCTCTTTTGTTACAAGTCTTTTGTTCCCTCCCTCTTTCTTTTCTAGCTTTCTTTCTTTCATTCCTTTCTTTCTTTTGCTCCCCACCTTCCCTTCCTTTTCTGCTTGCTTCCTCTTCCCCGCTTCTTTTATCCTGGTTTCCTGTCCGCCCATGGCAGTGACTGGCCCATTGACTGGCCAACCGGCCGAGGCAGGACGGGTGGTTTGCCCGCCGCAGCTGGCCCGAGCTGTTGACCCGCGAGGAGCAGCAACGCCTGTGCCTGGCGCGAGCGACGCGGCAGGGGGAGAGCTTCTCCGTGTTTCGTTTTTTGAGGGAAGGTCGCCTGACCTGTTTTTTTGTTTTGTTTTGTTTTTTTCATAGGGGGAAGCCAACAGGAAAATGCTCCCTCCCTTCCACCAGTGGGAGGGCACCTGGAAAATAATGTTCCTCTTGAAGGGAAATCTCCGGTCAGGTGCCCTGTTAGTGGGAGGCAGGGTACCTTTTTTTTTTTCCGTAAAGGGAGGCCGAAAGGAGAACTTCCAGCGGTTGGGGACCCGGAAGAGCGTTTCTGGGAAGAGCTGCGCGTCAACTTTTGCACGTATTGCACATATCATAGTCGGCGCGTGTGTGTTTTCTGGATGGTGGGTCGCCCAAGCTTTGTTTGCGGCTGGGACGCTTGGATGGACTGTAGGTATCATAAGGCATCGAGCTTTAAGGCAAACCATTGTGCTCACGCGAACTTCTTTTCTGGGTCTTGGGATCATTCTAACGATAGCTCAAAAGACTTGATCGGCCGCGCTTGCCAGTTGGCAGTGTCCATGCTGAATTTTCCGGCAAGGGGACTCGCTCTTTCTCCTCGGGGGGCGAACCTCAAAAAATCCCAACAAGGGGACGAGCAGATTCTCCGATCCGTTCTCCCCCAGTCTAGTCTCTGCTGCAGGACACGGGGGGGGGGGGGGGGAATCTTCTGGCAAGGGGACTCGCTCATTCGCCACTCCGTCGGGGGAACTCACACGCAGTTGACGAAGATCGTGCCTCACATTGGGCTTTGAGGTGCTGTACCACCAGCCCACCTTCTGCATCCTGGAGGCGGGGAAACGATGGGCCGAATGGGCTGGATGCTGGATTCTTGAAGACGTGGCGCAAGAAATCACCCTCCCTTCCGCGGATGTTCGTTTTTTCATCTCAGAGTTGCTAGCTGATTCCTGGCTTGCTAACCACTCCCTTTGTCGAGGTGGTTTGAAGTCGATTGCACCTGAACCCCGTAAAAAGGCCCACCTTTGCCCCCCCCCCCCCGCCACACAAATAAACAAATAAACAAATAAACAAACACATACATAAATAAATAGATAAATCAAATAAATAGAACAGTAAATGAATGAGAAAATAAATAAATAAATTAAATAAATAAATAAATAAATAAATAAATACATAAATAAATAAATAAATAAATAAATAGATAAATAAATAATTAATCAAATAAATAACAACTCAACGACCAACAACAACAAAAAAACCGCGGCGTTTCCGCTTCGACCGAGCCGCCTTTCGAGTTCTAGGAGGCCACCTGCACGCTGGCGCCGCAGCAGGAGGCGCGGATCATGGAGCTGCTGCTGGCGTGGCACGTGACGCCCCTGGCGCTGAGCTCGGCGCCGGAGGACGGGACGATCTTCCGCGCCTCGGGCGCAAGACCTGGGGTTGTAGGGTTCCTTGCTCCCATTGAATGCCTGGGTGCATTTTGCCAAGGGATGGATGTTAGGCCTGAACCACTTTTTGCTAGCTAGTGGGTTTTCCGTATTAACCACTAGAAGTTAGTCACTTTTAGCAGGGGAGCAGAAAGCAACCGAGAAAAGAATGGCAAGGACCCAATTTGGATGATGACAATCTGTAGGAAAGCAATGGTGGTTGTATGAACCCCATTGTTTTATTGGTTGTTTGAACCCCGGGCGGAATTTTGCGCTTTCCGTTTTTTGTTTTGTTTTTTCTCCCCCAGGGTGTGTGCGTGTGTGTGGTGCCTTGGTTGCTTGCTGCAATCCTTGTGGTATTGGCTCCGATTGTGGGAAATAAAAACAGGGCTAGGGGGGTTTCGCCTTTGGTATCGGCTTTTGACCTTCAAAACCTCCAACACATGTTTGGCGTCCGAAAAAGGCAGGGGGGGTGGGGTCCAATCCAAGTCAATTCTGTGGATGGACACAATCCTGCGCCAGAAGGATGAAACCGTTCGAGTAGTGTGATAAACCTACCAACCAGTGCACTTGTGTTTTCCATCCACAGTATGATCCAAAGAAGGGGGCTGCATATTTCTCGTCCATTGCCCCCTATCCTAAACCACTGCAAGAATGTTTACCTGCGCTGCCCTTCACTGCATCTTATCCTTCCTCAAAATTCGATGGCGTATCATCAAATTCAGGAGACCCCGATTCGACGTAACAGCAGGTGAATTCCATGTCTGCCATGGTAGATGGATTCGGGCAGCCGACTGAACATTCGGTTCCTGAATGGCCCAAGCCTCTCAGAAGAATCGTCTTGAAATAGGCAAAACCCATCCAGGCTGTTCACTCGAAGCTTAGACTAGTTTCTTGCACATCCTGGGCCCCGGCTTTCGGCTTTGGTAGCCTTTTGGCCTACAGGCTACAGCAGGGCTCCTTAAAAGATACATTTTGCAACCATTTGAAACATGTTGCTTTTTCCACCACAATAAAGGGGAACCCACCATTGACAAGGCAATGTTCAGGTGTATAATGTAAGGATCCCTGTAGAGGGCTCGGAATGGAGGCACTGGCACCTCGCTTGCTGCGTTTGAAGGACCCACAGCTGTCTTAGAGTCTCGTCTGTGCGCCCAAAGCGCGCCACAAATTGGCTTTGGGGAGTTCATGACTGCTGCGGGGCCTGGCACTGTTGGAGGGTCGACGTGTACCGCTGGCCGATGTCCGGCGGCAGAGCCCTGCAGGTCCATCCATCCATCCAGGCATGATTCATAAGCGCAGTCCGGCCGCCCGAACTGCATCCATTCATAAACACCATTCGGGTAGGGCCACCACAAAGGGGAGCCTTTTGTCTGTCCTGGTTCCGTTCCTTTTGGTGTTTGCACCCCCGTCCGGTTTTCTTTTGGTTCCCTTTCGGTTTTCTTTTTTTCTGCCCCAGAATTGGCTGCCCTTTTTGCTTTTTTGCTTTTTTGGGGTCCCTTTGTTTTCCACTAACCAGGAAAAAACAATAAAATGCTGGGGTCCTAATTCCAGCCCAGTCTTGTGGTTTCCCTTCGGTTTTCTGCAACCGCCTTGACAAAAAAATGCTTTCAACTAGGCCGGCAGCTGCATCTGGGCCTTGCACAGGCGCGGAAGAGCTGGATGAACTGCCCGATTTGGGGTTAACATATCAGGAGATACGGGTGTGTCTGACAATCGGGGAATCTCTAAAGGGGCGTTTTACATTTGATTTCCTTCTAAACCAATCCCAAGGTACCCTTAAACAAAGACATCCCCATGTGTAAAGAAGGGGGATTGGCCCTTGGATGGGATGCGAAGCCAACTCGTCATCAGTGTGGAACTCTGCCGCGGTGCCGCCGTCGGGTATAGCCTGTTGGTCAAGGGCGGGGCAGGATGATTCAATCAGAAGGCCCAAAAGTTCTGGGCTTCACCCCTTCGGGTTCTTCAATACGTATCCACCCCTTGCTCGCGAGCCCTGCGATCGATCGCGTGGGGGGGGCCGGGCGACTTGGCGGTTCGGGAAGCTCAGCGATATGGGTAGAGGGGCCCCCGCAATCACGGGGTTTTTAGCCTCTTGCAAACATGGTTCAACTGTGAACCTTTATGTAGGCTTTTGATCAAGATTTTGAGAAATGTGTGTTCCCACAGCAATCGGTTTGTACAACCTTTGACGGGGTGTGAATGACCAAGCCATCAAAATCTCCAGTCATGGAAGCGTGGGCCTTCTCATGAGGTCGATATCTTAGACAGTGAGACGTGTGGCCTACCCTGCCACTTCCTTTTTATCAAGAGCTCAATCCATGTATGGTCCTCTCCCCATCTGGGCTCTGCCTTTGCTGGTCGGCATGTTTTGATTGGGAAGGCGGCAACCCGGATTCGGTGTGAAGATGTTGGGGTTGCAGAATTTATTTGAGGTATTCCCTGGTATCGGTTGACCATGTTTGGCCCGTTGTTTCGGCCATGTTTTTTTTTGCATGTCAGGAACTGCATTGTCAGCGTACTCAACCAGCCTACGGTGGATGTCCTAAATATTGCAAGTAAGGGAACAAGGACACCTTCCAATTTGTCGCAATTTGCCGTGGTTTTGTGGTTGAGTATGGTTGGTTTACTTGCTATATTTACAGTAGGGCATCCACAGGAAACAGGCGTTACGGTTTGGCTCTGGCCACATTCACGGTATGGACTCACAGACGACTTCGACGCGTTTGCTTGCCCACTAGTTCCAAGTCCTAATTCCTCCCCTCTCTCAACTCAGTTCTTTCCAGGGTTAACAATTGTCATATAGGTATGTCAAATCCAGGGAGCCCCAAATTAGTTGCGGTTTCTTTAGGTTTCCCCAAGCGAACCCCGCAAAAGGGAACCAACAGACATCCCCCCCTTCCTCCCCCCCCCCCCTCCCTTCCCCCCTCCCTCCCCTTCCCCCTGTGTTTGTTTTGCTGACCCATTGATCTCCACGCAACACATTTCTTGGCTCAAGGCCTTTCATGTGACACAGCCGATGCGCATAGCTCACTCAGCCATTGCATCCGTGATACAAAGGTGAGACTTGCGGACCACTTTCAGAGTAATCCACAACACCATTTACCAGGGCTTATCCAGTATCAATCCATCAGTATTGACACTTGGACTCAGCGGAATTCATTCAGGGACCTACCAAACAAAGACTCTCTACTACCACAAGGTATCGGTTCCCTTCGGGGATAAGATACCCCCAGCAGTGGGACTCAATTGTGGTAGCGGAGCTGGTTTTGGGCAAAGATCCAATCAAGATGTCATCCGATGGAGAAGGCTTCTTGGAGGCCTCTTCGGGCGTGGTTCCGACCACCTGGCTTCACTGAAGAGACGCTCAATTTGTCGATGACCGCCAGGCAGCCGCCATCGTATGACGGAAAAGTCAACTGGTTTAGATATGAAGAACTCGTAGATGATTGGGTGACTTTCACAACCATCGAAGCATCCAAGAGAGGACCACTCCTCAAGAGCAGACTCATTGGAGACGCTCACATGTACTATCAAGGACTTCATGCGAAGGTATGAACAAGATCCTCAGAATGTTCATCGAGACCTCAATCAATGTGAGATTGGCTCCCTGAAGCACGTCGATCCTGACGCACACGTTGAGGAAGAAGTATTCTACTACAGCAACCACAGCAAAAAGCCAACCATGGAAGAGTACAGTGCGGCGCAGCCAAAATCCGAACATCCGACCGGACTGAAGTTTCTCAGGTCACACGATGAGCCTGACGTGATCCAGGCATACACGGACATCCTTGGATCTCTGATGCAAGCATCCGAGTCGCCGCCGATGGACAATTTCCATGCACGAGACTCCCACTCCTTCATGACCATCAACGTGCTCACGATGAATCATGGGAACCTCACAAGGAATCCTAAGTCGGACGGCAGAGAACTGAAAAACATGCCAATGCGAGACAGGCCAATCACAAGAATGTTACTGCGCAACAATGCTCACATCATTTGCCTCAATGAAGCTGACGCATTTGTGAGGTTCTCCCTGGACATATGATGTCCTGTTGTTGCCAGGCAGTCGCATGTGGGCGTGTCATATTCGGGATCGATGCAGCCGGTCTCCCGAAGAAGCGTGCCCCATTTTGGGATCTTGTTGAAATGTATCTTGCCAATAGTTCGACTCTGGCGTGCTCATTGCCACGGACGAAGCATGCGATGGGTCTTGCTGTCCAGGATCTGATCACAATGCCCTTGTATCCTGAGGAGATAAACAAGCGGACGAGTTCCTTGCATTTTTTGTCTTCGGAATCGAGAAGCACGTTGCCAGAGATTGCCTCCACGAACTGGCATCCAGACATATGGGCACAACAAGGAGATCGTGGTCATCCAGATCGACCATAACAATGCATTCCGAGGTGCAACACCCAAGTCAAACGAGGCTCCAAGTTATGATTACGACAGTCGACACATTCTACGAGCCGGACTTCCATATGCCACAATCGGGGTTTTCCACGTCCATCCGAGTATCACTCATGGAGCAGCAAGAGATGGTTTTCAAAATGGAATCATGCCACTAGTAACCACAGTGACCACACACCAGTGCGATGCGATCACCGGCGACGCCAACAAGTCTGCCAACACTTACAGCAGATTGCAATCGGTATACAATTCCGAATCCCGATTGATAAGCCACATCATGCAGAAGTACCAAGCAACATGGAACGGGACAATGGTTGAAGACAGATTGGACTATTGCTACCTCCTGTACAATGAAGGCCATTGTTCGACACCACTTATACATGAAGACCGGCTCAGGTCCGGATCGAACCTGTCCAGATTGCATGATGACTTTCGTATTTGGACGGGGAAAGACAGACGTCCAACGCCGATTCCGAAGTTCCGAGATTGAGTCCATGCAAATGGAAAAGAAAGAATTGCAGGACAACGCTTCGCTGACCATCCCAGATTACCAGGTCACATCAGCAGAGCGTTTCAAGCACATCAACAACGAGATGTTCATGAATGGACCATGCGATTCCGATTCGCACAGCCCGCTGATCAATGGTTTACATCCGAAGCCGATCCGAAAGCAAGGAACGCGGCTCTCAGAGAATCAAGGAATACAACCAGAAGAAGAACACCTGGGGAAGTTCTTGGCAGTACAACAAGGGTTACGGCTACGACCAGCAGGCTATGGTTCTTCGACATGGTATGACTACGATTATTACAGCCAATCGCAGACCAGCAACCATCTGTGGAAGCGCTGAGAAGCTTTCAGAGGCTCGACTGAGAGAACACCCGAGCACAGCACCACGAATGCCGACCAATTGATCCTCACCACCAACAAGACTTTTCAGTCAAAGATCAATAGTTTCACACAGATCCTGCATGTGCATAGCATCGTGCGTCATCTTTTGATACAACTAGGTGTCCGCAATGAGTACAGAGCTTTTCTTTTCCATTTGCCAACAAAGCCAAAGAGGGATGAATACAGTATTCTAATTCCGACAAGATATATAGGTCCGTATGGCTACGCTCAAGGCCAAAGGCCAAGCTCATAGCATTTTAGTGCTGGAGATCAAAAGAAATTTGTGTCTGTTTTGTGTTTGTTTTGCTGACCCACTGATCTCCACGCACCACATTTCTTGGCTCAAGGCCTTTCATGTCACACAGCCGATGTACATAGCTCACTCAGCCATTGCATCCGTGATGCAAAGGTGAGACTTGCGGACCACTTTCAGAGTAATCCACAACACACCATTTTATCAGGGCTTATCCAGTTCCCCCCCCTCCCTCCCCTTCCTCTCCCCTCCCTCCCCTTCCCCCCTCCCTCCCCCCTCCCTCCTTCCCTCCCCCTCCCCCTCCCTTTTTGGGAAGAATGGTCCAAGATTCGTGGGTTCCACGCCAAACTTGGGCACCTTAAAACCTCCCCGAGTCGTTTCGGCGGATTTTGGGGTCTCTCCCTCGGTGGAGTGAAGCATCACACCGTTTGGGCCCAGTAGTGCCCTTTCTCACCAACGTTTTTGGTTGGGAGGGTTCACTAACATAGACTGCAGAAAAGACAGGGTACCAACTTATTCTAACCTCTATAGTGGAGGACCTAGGTAAAGTGAGTTTCCTCGTGATGGGGGAAATGTCGTTCCCCTTTCTGGGCGAGGGAACCTTGCGAGCAAGGGAAGAGATCTCGGTTTGCCAAATACAAACAGGTGAATGTTGATCCCGAACAAGTAAATTCCCTGGCTGATTAATAGGGGGTCCTTTTGAGTGGGGCATCATTACTTTTCGAGGGGAACACCACCCCCCCGCCCCCCCACTAAAACCGGTTTAGGAATCCGAGGTCAACAATAGGCCCCGTCAACCAATCTCCCCTGGTTTCAGGATTTTGCGGCGCTCAGTTTTTGAATGGCTTGACAGCCGCCAACTCTTGCGGAACCTAGGGAGAAACCTGGGGCGCATCCACAGGTTCTCGGAACGCACTGGTTCTGTTCGCAGGGCTTTGAGAACCTTTCTGGGTGTGCCTTTTTCTAGGGGACTCCCGGTAGTTTTGCTTTTGGTTTTCCTTCGAAACCACAAAAGGGGTACGTACACTTCTTGTTGTTTGGGGGGGAACCTTTCCGGAGAAGGGGCTCCCCATTGTCTAGAAAGATTTTGAACCGAAAACAAATCGCCAGGGGGATGGCTGGAAGCTGGTTGACCTGACGGCAACGTGAGCAACGGTTTCGCCTTCGTTCCCACGCGATGCGACTTAGAGTGAGCGACACCATTTTGTTTC